GATAACAAGCCGATCAATCAAAGGCCCTATCCGCTTAACCCACACAAAACCAAAATCCTCTACGAACAACTAGCAGAGATGCTAGCTAACGGGATCATCGAACCGTCAACGTCAGAGTACAGTTCACCACCCGTCTTGGTGGAACGGCCAGGCAAGAAACCACGATTCTGCGTGGACTACAGGAAAATAAATGCGATTACCAAATCCGAATCCTCCACTCTCCCTAAAATTTCAGAGGTATTAAAGTCGTTCGGCGAAGCCAAAATATTCTCCGTATTGGACTTGAAGACCGGATACTGGCAAATTCCGATGCAGCCCGAGTCCAAGAAGTACACCGCCTTCTCCACTCCCGATGGAGCCACATACCAATTCAACGTCTTACCTTTCGGGCTGAAAAATAATCGGGATAATCAGCCACTCGACCAAATTCAAGTCGTCGAAACCCAAAGTCCACTCGACGAAAGGAGGGAGGTGTCGTATAATGTGAGCGAGCGAACTTCAGATTTCGACTATCTTTCGAATCCGAGTTCCAACGCCCGGAACAGCGCTCCAGTGCAAGCTCTCTACGCAGAACATGAAGCCATAACAAACATATTCCACAATGTTTCTAATCCCGAGCCCGAAGTCGCTGTCAGGGGAGAAAGTAAAAATTTCACCTATGTTTCCAATCCAAACCTCAAAATCCAGCACCAAGCTCCAAGCCCGATTTCCAACATAAGAAATCAAAGTACAAGCATTAAATTGCATAATGTTGCTAACTCCGAAGTAAGAATTTCACCTATGTTTCCAATCTGGAGGCTAAGTCCGCCAGTAGCAACCTCACCTACGTTTCTATGATCCAAAATCAAAGCAAAAGACATAATTTGCATAAAGTTTCCAATACGGAAGTCAATGCCTCCCTTGAGAGCAAAAGTAAAATTTTCACTCAAGTTTCCTTTCCGAATCCAAGAATCCCGGACAACGTCCTAAGTCCGATGTCCAGTAACACAAACCAAATCCTAAGCTATAATTTACACAAAGCTTCCATTCGCAAAGCCGATATCACTACCAGAGCGAAGAGAGAAAAAATCGACAAGGTTTCGAATCCGGTTACCATCCAGTCGCCTCGAACCCAGATGAAGCAGTATCCAAGGGAAACAAACAAAACTGACTATGTTTCAGATTTGCAACATCGCAGAGCCGCAGTTGAGCCAAGCCAGCCGATTACAAAAATCGCCGATGTTTCCAATCCACCTGCGAGAAGCCGCAAATCGTCAAAAAAGCGCCCCCCGGTGATGAAGACGAGATGGATCGCATCGAGGACGACCGATGTGAAGCCGACAACGAGCCAGCAACCACCTTCCAGAGAGTCACGAAATCGACCCACTTTCCAATGATCCCCGGCCTTGCAGGGGAGCACCGGTCAAGAAGAGGAAAAAGAATCGTATAAAAAACCCGGGAATCAACCGCGGATCAAGGCCACGAATCCCTTATCGCGATGGATCGTCAACTGCGGGCATTTACAGTTATTTAACCGGATTGACGTATCCGACCAGTCTCTGTGTGGGACGCTCCAAATTCTAGTTGCGACATTAAAGCCTATATAGTCAATATTACAGCCTTTCGCAAGCTTTTAACCTATTGTTAGAGTCAGATTTATGTTTAATATATATATATATATATAACCTAACCTACCTCTTATCTATAAAAGAAAGGTAAAACGTCGCCCGGGTATTTATTTCTGACCCGCGGCAGACTCAAATCACGGGCCATTAGCCAGCCCTATCAAAGTGTTAGATATAAGCTCTAGTGAAGTGCATCAAACTGCGCCTATAGTTATCAGAACTATATGAGCGTAGTGTTTTACCTCTAGATATATATAATTATAAGAATTATATATACAAACTACCTAATTAACGGCTCTCATACCCGCCTGAGCTCAAATATCAGAGATAGCGGGACGTATTGGCGCTGAAGTCACTTTTCACCTATCTTTCCAATACCGATCCTATATCTCATATCATTCTAATCCAAATTCCCTTTGTTAGAGTCAAACCTCTCATACATCCTATCTAAGGGAAAGACAAGTTGTTACAAAATTAGATCGCGTCCTCTCACCGAGCCATGCCAGGTTAGCTATATCTCGAGCAGAGTCCAGCGCGACAGCGCGAGAAGCATATAATATGTCCAGAAACCCTGAGAGCCGCAACCTAATGGTAAGTGCAACACGGGATGATGAGGTACGACGACAGCCGTGTACCGGATTTCCGGTTTTTCTCCCTCCCCGGAGGGGATGGGGGTGGAAAAGGTGATATAGAAAGAAAGGGAATTCGATGCCCTATCCGCCGGTTCAAACCGCGTTTGAATCGGCGGAAGTATAGGGAAGTTATAGGCCAAATCGTTTTCCACTAATCCGGGGCCGCCATTGACGAGCTTGGGTGCCCCGGATGATATAAAAGGGGACTGAAAACTATCCCCGGGATCGACCTTTTGAGACAGAAGTACAGGATCACTTTTTCCCAAACTACTTTTACGTACTTTAGCAAGGTTCCTTAGTTGTATCTGTTGGCAATAGAGTTGTTTCAATTTGATTCGCGTCTTATTTGTGTTTTAAACTTACCTTAAATAATAGTGTATTCCAGCTTGCTGGTTATAAGAATTCGACCTCTAATCCCGCTTAGCGAGATATCTTAAAAAGAATTCGAGACAAATACATAAAAACCATTTTAATATTAGTGAGTGCTTGTACCCGACGCATCGAGGAAGTTTGAGCTAGGACGGTAAGTGCCGAATTGAGACAATATACGTTACCTGGTGTAAGGAGGGGACCACTTGTTGAGATAGGCCATTGGTGTGATATTAGTTTGACTTTGGGTCATCGTAACTATTCATAGGGGTTAAATAGACCAGTCTTAGTTTTGCTATCAATACTTACCTTGGTTATCGAGCTGCTGGGGTTAACTTACCTTAAACTTTGAGATTATCACTGAACCATAACTTTGCATTACTGAAGTGCCAGATTTGACTTTAGAACTTACTCAAATGCGTGGTTGTGTCCAACGTTTACCTACCTGTCGGGTGTATACCTTTCTTCACAGATACCGTTCCAGAGCATAGCGGCCTAGGTTCCCGGTTGCATGCGCATGTTCCTTTCAGATTGACGTCGTCATCAGAGAGGCCTGGGAAACTACTCCAATAGAAGCACTAGTGGACCTATATTGTTCTTTTTTTGTATAAACTATTGTATTCTGTGTATTATTTGGTTGATTGACATCAAGAATTGCCCGGTCAACATGGATAACATACACGTACATGACCTACCTGATGCCGCCGCCGCTAACCCGGTGATGCTAGAGGTGCCTACCGAGGCGGACAACCCTGTGGATATTTCGCCTGCCTCTTTAGCGACTACTATTACATTAACTGACACCCCATTCCTGGGATTCCCTAGGGAACCCGGCGATGCGGGATTACCCGCGCCGTTCTACATCCGAGAATTTGGCGGACGGGGACAGCCATTGTATCCGTGCGCATGCGTATAACTCATCGCCGGCCCTTCCGGCTTCTTCATCCGGGAATTCGTTCGTTTCATAATCCTGTTCAATTCCCAAATTGATATTAGGGCGAATTCCGCCGACATTCCGGTCGGGCGGTTGACTAACCGGATCCTCCAAATTCCCCGTACCTGTAAATGCCCCTTCGAGGGATTCGGTCGAGATTAGTGACTCGTGGAGGCGGTCCTCTTCCAATTCGAACGCGGGCCGCACCGCGCATGCGTTCCTTTGTTCTCTTGATGTCATTTTTTATACTCAATAGATTACATATGCATGCAACTCAATGTATAAAATAAACAAGGAAATATTGATTTGGAAAAGTAGTATCTAACTTTACAGTATTCGTTTCCTTATTCCAAATTTAATTCTATACTCTCCAATGCTTAAATGAATTACAAAAGTCTTCAACTGCTCTGAACTTACGGATTTAACTATATTGTCTCTCTTTATAAATGGTTTACTCGCGACACTAATATTGTCTCTACAGTTTTAAACACTACAATGTTCGTGAAAGTCTTTATTGTCTATACCATTTCAAGGCAATGTATACGGAACCAAGTTTTAGCACTTACCCGCTCGCTACAGTCTGCTCCCGGGATCTGTCTCTAGACTACTCCTGGCTGCGGTATTCACTTATGATTAGGCAATTGACAACGTATTATTATTATTAGGGTTAACACTGACTCTACAGTTCGGTGAATCAAGCTCTCATAGCTTGCATCGCTAATATAATTGTTATTTACTTTCAGCTGAAGGCACTAATTGTTTATATATTCTTTCTTTCAGATTCCCACTTCAAGAATGCACGCTGAAGGCGCTATCACCACCCACGACTGGATTAAAAGAAACCCAAGTTTGGACTGACACATATATTGTTGGTAAGTACAACTAACTAATACTTTCTTGCAGGTAATTAACCGCCTAGGTAAAATTCCTCCCGCGATAACGTCTTTGCGATTTAGTCTTTAATTTTTTAACTCGGCCTCACGCATTTCCCCAAATTTATGAATTTCGACCTTACGTACTACTCACACAAAGGCTATTTCACGTATATATTTATTGACTATGAACCTCAATTCGGGATAGGTCGACCAAGACCACTTTGCTACCCGTTTTACTCTAAATTAGTTTATGACTTATATCGGAATCCTTCCAGGACTTCCGTACTCGAATATATCGAAACGACGCTGGTAATGTCGAATTCTTTTTGGAAAAACATTCAACGTGGCTTCGATTTCTAAACGAGGTCTGCTGCTCTGATCTCCGCGACCCTGTCTTAAATAGCCGGTCGGACCGATAGGCCCCGCCCTAAAACGCTGTCTCAGCCAATCCGCGGCTCGTATTTTCCTATACTTTTAATAAAACTAATTTTTCAACTTTTCTGACTCCCATTTTACGGATCACGGTTGCCAAGGGCCCGTGACACCGTGTCGAGGAATATGATCTTCGCGTAGTGTTTCATCGACATGGGACCTCGGTGGAGACATCGGAAGTTCGAATCGAGCCCCACGTTGGGCGCCATGTCGAGGAATATGATCGTAATGACCGACCATATTGACATGGGCCCTCGGTGGAGACATCGGAAGTTCGAATCGAGCCCCACGTTGGGCGCCATGTCGAGGAATATGATCGGTTGTATTGGTAAACACGGCATGGGCCCTCGGTGGAGACATCGGAAGTTCTAATAGAACTCCACGTTGGGCGCCATGTCGTGATATATGATCGTTTGTGCCTAATATTTGAGAATTGTGCGGAGAATTGGCAACATAGGCTCGCCGCGAGGACGTCGAAGCAGGACTTCGAGCCCCGCGTCGAGCGCCATGTCGTGAAATATGATCTGAATGTTGTGTTTGGTCGGCATGGGTCCTCAGTGGAGGCATCGGGAGTTCTAATCGAGCTCCACGTTGGAAACCATGTCGCAACCTGTGATCTGGGATGTTAGTTCCCTTGACCGGGTTCCGCGGCAGGAACGCACGGAGTTCACGGGGATCGTCGCTATCGACGCCCGGTCGCACTATATTCTCTGACGATTGGAATCTGTGGTGGATATGACCTACAGACGTGGTGTCTAGGACACGAGCTCGCGGGGGAGATCTCGACGAAGAAGGTCGAGCTCCGCGTTGAGCGTCGTGTCGGGTTAGACTTTCTTGATATGGACCACTTAGGCGATGATCGTATGTTCGGGGGAAATCATGAGAATGGACGGGCGACGTACAAGTATTGTTTTGATAAAAAAGGCCGGCTTCGTCACCTACGACGTAGTCGGCTAAGGGGTTTTCGCTTACTATGGCACCCGAACGAGATGCGCATTGCTCCCGCTGGATACCACTTCGTAAAAAAGCTGAATGAACTGTAGCGTCGTCACCGACGGCTAGCTCACGTTCCGAAACACCCGACCTCGGAAGTAGGCCGCTATCGGGGCCAGACCGTGAACCGTGGTTGGACTCATGGGATTCCCCGGACCCTACCAGTTGGTACGTAGGTTGAACCTCGTCCCGAGTATCTGTGGGTGACCCACTTCGTGGTAACTCTTGGTTGCTACTCGGATCCGCGAGTGCGTCGTGAGGGGTGGTCGAGATGGTGCCAGTAACTCGCGTAGCAGCGGACCTCAACGCGTACGGCGCTGTGGCTGCGCCGTGCCGCGTACTTCCGCGAGCCACCATCTTCGGTCCCTCAGACTCTTCGCGGAGCATCGATATAGCGTTGGCAGAAGAGGCCATTTCCTCTTTCACCCCGAATGTCGAGAGATCTTTCGCCGGCAAACAGGTGTGAGGGCAGTTCGTGTGACCGCTGGTCTCTCCGATTTGGGACGAGGTCTCGTCCAGCTCAGTCTTGATCATACT